ACTTCAAGACCTAACTCGGCGCAGTCCACCGAAACATTAAAGAGCTTTTTGAACCTCTCCCCTATTCTGTCTCCAGATACACAATCACAGAGTACCACGCGTGGAGAAATATGCTTTGCGATTAGCTTGAGGTCGGCTACATCGGGCAAGATATTAGCAGTTCCAAGTTTAATTGCGCTATGGTGAAGCAGCATTACGAACAGTCCTGTGTGACCTGACGTGAACTTTCTGCGCCTACGCCAGTTTGGCTCAGTCCTCCCGGCTACTTTCGGAGCACATGTTGCATCAGAACAAAGCCTCTCAAATAGTTCAGTTTATTTAGGGTAGTAGGCAATGCTTTTGAAGGGCCCTATTGAAAACAGTATGCATGAAATATCCAACATAAAATATGTCACTATAAACATGAAATATCCAACATAAAATATGTCACTATAAACAGTGAGTAACATATATATATGCATAAAATATGTCACTATAAACAGTGCCCTATTGAAAACAGTATGCATGAAATATCCAACATAAAATATGTTACTATATGATTGTTACTACAATGATTGGTTTGACCCAGCAGAGCTTGCTACGGAGGACGCTTGTATATTGGTTCGTCCTGTTAGTAACCCAACAAAAACATTATAAGATGGGGGCATCGCCGAACTGGTAATGGAACAATTAATTTGCGTTTTCGCTCTGGAGCTCACATTAGAGCGTGCGCAGGTATTCACATAATGACTAGTACGATAGGATGGAATGGATCCGGCGAAGCAAAGTGAGATCGGAATGGCCATTTCTGGCTTCTCAGCCTTCATCAGCCAGACATACCCAATCTTAAGTGTCGGAACACCCAAGATTCGAATCCGTAGTGCAAAGGTAGAGTGGTAAACTCAGTGACCAAAGATCCCGGGTTCGAATTTTGGAGGTTTCGATCCTTAAGATTGGGTTTGTCTGGTTGATGACGGCTGGGAAGCCAGAAATGGCCATTCCGATCTCACTTTGCTTTGTCGAATCCATTCTAAAACATTATGTGTTTCCAATCAAAAGCTGCCGCTGGCGTTTCCAGACCCAACTCAATGCAGACTTAGGCCTTAGTCACTGAGTAACTAACTGCAAATGGACTTCGTTTCTGCACTGCGTTCATGGTATTGATGGTTGCCTAGCTTGCACCTTGATCCGTACGCGTGGTAAGGCCTACTAAGTTATCTTAGTGCTGTAATGCCTTCCGTAGCTGCACGCCTTATTTTGATCTTCCGGCGAACACCAAAGTCTCCAGTAGTCGCCATCTCTGCTTCAAAAGAATGACGGCACCCCTGATGACACCATCACTGGGCGTGTTCTACATCCACCCATACTGCGCGCCTCGGTAACCGATCCTGCACTCGACTGCCTGGGAATCGAGCAAGAATCCTAGGAAAGACTTGCATGCATGACCCTAAGGCACGCTGCTATGTCATAAAAATTGTAAATAACAGCTTTCAAAACCGCGACAAAACGAGAAACATGCAAAACTTCAAAACCATGGACCAGTGCCGACCAATCCCTCCCCCTCCCACAGTGCACGTACTCCCACTGACAGCAAACGCCCGAGGGCCCACTCGATTTTC